GTCACCAGCCGGCGTTGTGACCCCGACCGAAGTGCTCTTTGGGGAATATATGGGGAAAGGCAGTCCCTCAGATAAGTCGGATCCATTCCAGCATGAAAAGAACTCCCCATGGAAACCAGGAAGTTTTAGAGCGTGCAAGAGTGAAGATTTGCTTCCTCTGGCAATGGGAAGCGAGGGAGACAGGGACAAGGTGAGGCAGGGAGAGAACCTGTGATCCTGACACAGGAGAAGGTCGATGGGGCCCCAAGACATCGGCAGATTATAGTTTTGTCTGATCTTGGCTTTCCAAGGCAGCCTGTCTGGAATCTGTAGGTTGAGATTGTTTCATTGGATCCTTCCCCTCTTTCCTTAATGGACTGACAAGTTAGTCACTTTTTTTTCTCTGATCAGTAGAGCTGCCAAGTCGCGGCGGGGGATTGTATGTCTTCACAGAATCTGTGCCGTGGGGACGGCGAGACGCGTTGTACCTGTTGCCAGGATGTGACACTATGTGTCGCTCTGGCAACGGGGCTGTTTGGAGCATTATTTGGAGCCCTAGCATTATTGTATTGTTGTATTATTTGAGCCAACTTCAGAGGACGGCGGAAGACCAGAAGGCCTGGCGTGATCTGGTCCATGGGGTCGCGAAGAGTCGGACTCGACTGTGCGACTGAACAACCACAAAATTATTTGTAGCCTGCATAGTACCTCTTATACCACGTCTTGTTAAACTTCAGAGTTAAACAGGTTAGAAATGGGTGTTGTCTGTTTACTTGTTAGAGTAATCAATATGTATCTTTGTAATAAACCTGAAACATTTTTGGGTGATATACCACTTGACTTAATTATTGACAAGCATAAGTGTGACAGCTCCGCACAGACACAGAACGGCCTGCTCTCCGTCGTGCTAAACTGCCCCCTTAACAAAAAAATTTGCTCCCTAACAAAAAAATTCTGGCTACAGGCCTGAGGTTTGTAAGAGATCTCAATGTTCTGTTTGGTGTTAGAGAGGCACTGGGCTCTTCCTCATTCTCAGTTTCATTGTTTGTCCCTATTTTGGTGTAGTGTTTAAGTGCGTGGACTCTAATCTGGGAGAACCGGGTTTGATTCCCCACTCCTCCACTTGCAGCTGCTGGATGACCTTGGGCAAGCCACAGTTCTGACAAGAGCTGTTCTCTCAAGGGCAGTTCTCGGGAGAGCACTCTCAGCCCCACCTACCTCACAGGGTGCCTGTTGTGGGGAGGGGGAAGGGAAAGGAGTTTGTAAGCCGCTCTGAGACTTTGAGTGAAGGGCAGGGTATAAATCCAAACTCTTCTCTTCTTCTCTTTTCTTCTGGGTTTTCTTTTCTTTTCTGCATGTGTACGGCTCCCTCTAGTGACCAATTCAATATTAACTGTAGATTTAAACGGCAGGTTTTTATGCTGGACGTAACAGCGATGTAATATCAAACTGTAACAGCGTTCCGTGCGCCTTGGTGTGTAGTCATGCCGGCCACATGACCACGGAAACGTCTTCGGACAGCGCTGGCTCTTCGGCTTTGAAATGGAGATGAGCACCGCAACCCCAGAGTTGGATTCGACTGGCTTTCGAGCAAGGGAACCTTTACCTTTGTAATATCAAACTGACTGCTAGAGGGAGCAAAATATGTACGGAAAAGAAAAGAAAAAAGAACTAATTGGGACACACAAGCGATGAAAACGATCGGCTTCTGGTTTGTATATTTTGCATTGCGTGCTTTCATTTTGGCTTCCTCTTCCCAGAAGACCAGAGAGGAAATCCAACAACAACTATCACAAAATCAGTGGATCAAGATCAAAATACAGAATGTGAACGACAGTTGTTGGTTTGACAGAACTCTCCCCTCTTCCTCCTCTCCACCTTAGAAGACGGAACACATGAAGCTTTCTTATAATGAATCAGTCCCACGGTCCATCAAAGTCAGTCTACTCAGACTGGCAGCGGGTCTCCAGGGGCTCAGGCGGAGGGCTTTCCCATCACCTCCTGCCTGCTCCTTTCAACTGGAGATGCCGGGGATTTAACCTGGGACCTTCTGCATGCCAAGCAGAGGCTCTGCCACTGAGCCACAGCCCCTCTTTACAGCTCTCCAGGGTCTCAGGCGGAGGTCTTTCCCATCACCTACTTGCCTGCTCCTTTCAACTGGAGATGCTGCCGGGGATTGAACCCGGGACCTTCTGCATGCCAAACAGATGCTCTACCACTGAGCCACGGCCCCTCTCAAAGCTTCTGGGAGGCCAGCTACTTACCCTTTGTCTAAGATAAGGGATCCTTTGGTTCCCTTCCTCAAGCACGACGACGTGGCAACAGTGAGCCATGCAATGGTCACCTCGAGACTGGACTACTGTAACGCTCTCTACATGGGGCTGCCCTTGTCCCAAATACGGGAGCTGCAGCTAGTGCAGAATGCGGCAGCCAGGCTGTTGATGGGTATCCCTATCCGGAAGCACATCCAGCCTTTACTGAAGACACTGCATTGGCTGCCGATAGCATACGGGATTCATTTCAAGGTGCTGGTTTTAATCTTTAAAGCCCAATATGGTCAGGGTCCGGCATACCTGAGGGACCGCCTTTACCCACATGCTCCCTGGAGAGCACTGCATTCAGGGACGCAAAATCGGTTGGCCCTTCCAGGCCCTAAGGATGCGAGGCTGGCAACAACCAGCGCCGGGGCCTTCTCGGTGGTGGCTCCATCCTGGTGGAATGAGCTCCTGGAAGAGATCAGGGACTTCTGGGACCTTTTACAGTGCCACAGGGCTTGCAAGACGGAGCTCTTCCACCAGGCCTTCAACGATGAGCCGCATTGCACACCACGGCGTGTCCCTGTGCCCTGGCTTTAACATCTTTTCCTTCACCTCCAGCCTGTGCCCTGGCCTACCATCGTTGTCTCAAGCCTGAGCCCGCCGCATAATAAGTGAGCAAACTGAGCTATAGGAATCATATGGTCACCTAAGCCATATTAGAAATAATTTTGCTTTTGATTTATCTGATGTTCCAGCATTTTAACTGTGTTTTAATTGACTGTTATTTATATTATTATTAAATATAATATTAAATAATATTATAAATATTATTTATATTATATTATATATGCGGTGGCTCAAGTGGTTAAGACGCTGAACTGCAGGCTGTGGAAGGTCGGTAGTTCAGCAGTTCGAGACTCGAGTGTGCCGCATGACGGAGTGAGCTCCCGTCTCTAGTCCCAGCTCCTGCCAACCTAGCAGTTTGAAAGCAAGAAATTGCAAGTAGATAAATAGGTACCACTTCGGTGGGAAGGTAACGGCGTTCCATGCGCCTTGGTGTTTAGTCATGCCGGCCACATGACCACGGAAACGTCTTCGGACAGCGCTGGCTCTTCGGCTTTGAAACGGAGATGAGCACCGCAACCCTGGCTTTCGAGCAAGGGAACCTTTACCTTTTCCTATTTATATTATATGTTTGTGTTTATATAGGTTTTAATTGAATTTTTATGAAATGTTGTGTAAGCCGCCCTGAGCCTGCCTTTGTGGGGAGGGTGGGGTATAAATTGAATCAATCAATTAATCAATCAATCAATCAGACGTCTTAAAGACAGAGTTGAAAAATCAACCCAGAATGACTGGCGATTGGTCTTGGGTGTTAAATGTTTCCCTCCTATGCATATCAGCCTGGGCAAAGCTATCCTCCCAAGATTAATATTGCATTTACTCGTTCACTTGCAAATTTGGTCAAATCTGCCAGTCTCTCTGAGACGCTGATAATTGCTGATCTACTTCATTAGAGAATTATCCACCCAAATAACCAAGAATTTCCCCCTAGATGCTTCACAGTTCCGCACCCTTAGCAGTTGTATTTTAAACTCCAAACCATTTAACACAAGAGGGAATGGTTCGTACGCCACTCTCATACCAACACACATAAGATGCACCGAGGTCTATTTCACTGCATGTATGTGCTGTGTGAACAAGCACATCACAGCCAGTGTATAAGAGCATATAAGACACACGCAAGTGGACTATATAGGAAATCCAGGTGGACTGTGTAGGAATTCCAGTAGGAAACAGGACTGGCCAAATTAGCTGAAGGCTTGGAATTGCATGCACCCTGGGAGAACACAGGTGGGAGCAATATAGACACCCCATAATTCATAGAATCATAGAGTTGGAGGGGACCTCCGGGGTCATCTAGTCCAACCCCCCTGCACAATGCAGGAAATCCACACATACCTTCCCCCCCCACTCCCAGTGACCCCTCCTCCATGCTCAGAAGATGACAAAAAGCCCTCCAGGATCCCCGGCCAAACTGGCCTGGAGAAAATTGCTTCCTGATCCCAAAGTGGCAATTGGCGTTTCTCTGGGCGCGTAAGAAGGGCCACGACAACAAAGCACTGATAGATATAGTGAGTCTAACTAGAGACTGCACAGAGATCTGTATAACGTTACCTTTGCCTGTTTTAAACCAGGAAAGGTGACTCTGGACTGGTGATCATGGCTGGAGTTGGGGCTGGGGGGAAGGCGAGATTATAAAAGCGACAGCCCCCACCTCCTCGTACCAGCTTTTTTCTCTTGCGGGGTTCTAGATGCAGGTTTGACCCTCCCCTTGCACACGACAAAATTATTAGTCCCTTGTACATTTTCAACAAACCACGGTTTCCTGTTACATCTGAGCTGGCCAACCACGGTTTGCACTCCGGCAAACGGATTCCAAAGAGTGGTTTCCGAGTGTCTTGGAGTCCGGGTGTACAGGAAAAAGCAAACCACACCTTTCTGGATTGGATAGAATGGCACAGTACTGATGGCTGTGGAAGTGGAAGTAATTAATTAGCTAACTGCACGGATAGGGAAAAGGGCAAAAGTGGAAGTGGAGGATTTATTAGCCCCATTTCACCAAGCACTATGCCCCAGTTTGCTATGATGTCTGAACCACAGCACAGAATGTGTTTTCTTGCACCATGTTGTTGCTTTGGGCTTGTTTGCTTTCTTAAAAAAGGAAGGAACCCCCCCAATGCACTAAACATTTCCACTTACCTTGGTTACTGTATTCGCCGGAATTGGTGCTCCCTGGCGGTGGCGGGATTGATGGGTAAGGCGACGGGCCAGGGCCCAGAGCTGCAATCATCTCCATCACGTTGGGCATGATCATCTGGCTGGGACTCATGGTCTTAAACCGCTTGGAAGGCATCCCGTCGGGATCGTCTTTGATGTGTATGTCGGACTTGATTGGCACCGGCCTCCAGCTGCACGTCGGGTCGATTGTGACTTCCTCAAACTCCGAGCTGTCAAAAGCAAAAATGCGCCACAGTGTCGCTTGGGCTTTTATGCTTGGGCTTTTAAGAAACGGCCTCTCTTATATCAGGTTAAAGTCAAAAAGGAGGAAAAGGTACTCAAAGACAAAACAACCGAGGTAAAGCCAAGACCTAATAGGTGTGTGTGCTGCCAATATAATAATAATAATCTTTCAATTTATTAATCACTCAGTCCTGCAGAGCTTGCTGGCTCTGAGCGATTTACAGTTACTCATTTGACGAACAATGATTTATGGGGGTAAGGGAGGACAACATATATCTTTTTAATCACACACATTCACAGTCGGCGAGGGTTTGTTCAGCTGCAGGGTCAGACGTATTCCGTCGGCGTCACCTCGGCTTGGCTAGATGACGTCAGCTTCTCCAGGTCTTGCAGTGCTGCACTGCCACCGCCTGGCCGGAATGGCCCATTACAGTCTTCGGAGTCAAAGAGATTTTTTCTTAGGCTTACAATCTCGCGAGCTGAGCATTCCGGTCGCCGGCTAACACCTCCCCCACCGGGGTGTGTGTGTCTTTGGTGTGCCCACCAAAAGGGGTGGTACCCATTTTATCTACTCGCCGAAGCTTTCGAACCACTGGGTGGACGGCGAGCTAGGGACAAGGCTGGTAGCTCACACCAATGCGGGGCTAGAACTGACAGCCGTACTGTTCAGCTCAGATGTTACTAACCAGAGGATAAGTCCTCTGTGCCAACTTATGGCAGCCCCAGCAAAGGGCTCTCAAGGCAAGTGAGGATCAGAGATGGTCTGCCATCGCTGTCCTCTGCAGAGTCTTCCTCGGGGGGGTGTCTCCCTTCCAAGTACAGACCCTGCTTAGCTTCAGAGATCGGCCCATGCCGTACCGCCTCCCCCTATGAATGACTGACCTTCAAAACGTCCTATCATTGACTGCCTTGCTCAGCTCTTGCAAACGGAGGGCTCTTGCTTGCTTTATTGAGCCAGTTTCAGCTATCTCGGTCTGCAGCAGAACACCTAGGTTCTAGTCCAGTGGCGTCTTAGAGACCGACAAGATGTATCGAGGGTCGAAGCTTGCTTCGGGGGTATACGCTCCCTCTTGGAAGTTTAAAAAGTAAAGGTCTCCCTTGCTCGAAAGCCAGTCGAGTCCGACTCTAGAGTTGCGGTGCTCATCTCCGTTTCCAAGCCGAAGAGTCAGCGCTGTCCGAAGACGTTTCCGTGGTCATGTGGCCGGCATGACTAAACACCGAGGCGCATGGAACGCTGTTACCTTCCCACCGAAGTGGTACCTATTTATCTACTTGCAAGAAGGTCTTGCTTTCGAACTGCTAGGTTGGCAGGACTTGGAAGTTTACACACACACAAATCTTGTTTACTGGACTTGAACTTGGCTGTTTTACGGAGTTCGTCCATCTCATGTTGGGTCTTCCTCTTCTCCTACTGCCTTCAACTTTTCCCAGCATGGTTGTCTTTCCCAGTGCGTCAACAGAAAATTCCAGTATGGTGGAGGAGACATTGTGAGGCTATGAAAATGAGTGGACATATGGGATCTCATAATTGTTCCATTTCTCACCATTTACAGCTTGTTTTTGCTCAACTTAAGGAAAGATCATTTGTCTGTACCAGGGGTCATTTCCTGCAGGAGCGCACAGGAGCAGAGCTCCGGCAGTAAAGAGCTCAGGGGGCGGGCAAATGCAACAAGCCCCACCCCCTGCTCCCAGCAGCCCTCAGTCAGAGCAAGAAGCAGCCAGGTAAGTTGCAGAGCCCCCCCCCCCGCCCCAAACAGTCCAGTGGCACCTTTAAGACCAAGTTTTATTCAGGTACAAGCTCTCCCTCCTCTGTGAGGACAGATCTGCACGCCCCCCCCCCCCCGCAAATAGCTAGCAATCCAAAACAGTCCAGTGGAGCCTGAGCGGTGGGTGTTGCCTTCTGACACACTTCCGGTGATGTCAGGGGGTGTGGCATATGCAAACAGGTTATACTAATGAGTTATGTTATGAGCTCCTGCACCTCTTTTTCTACGAAATGACCCCTGGTCTGTACCAGTCATTATTGTGTGTATATTTGGACAGCGCACTGTGCATTGGCCAATACGCTTGGCCCATTTTAATCCTGTGTAATTTCTTCTCCTTATTCCAAGGTGCCATGTTGTCTTGAACCAGATATTCCAGACACAGCTGGTTACGATTTTGCTTTTTATACCTCTTAGGTCTTGGGTTTGCCTTTGTTGTCATTGCTTAGATCGGGTCCACAATCTCTTTGAAAAGCCCTCTTTGAGACGTTCCGCTTGTGAAATGTCAGACGAGGACACTCTTATCTGTTCAGCAACTTCAGACAAGTAGACAGCGGTGCAGGTCTTGCGAAGGTGGCTGGACTCTTTCACCTGGATGTCTGTTCTCGCCTTGTTCGTGTGACTGGTCTGGTTGTCAAAGGCTCACAGCTATATAGAGAGGACAGGGCTAAGACAAGCTCATTTGGCTACAGCTACCGTATGAGCGATGAGTATAACCCCTGGTAGACTGCTTTAGATGGGAACCTGCCACTGTTTCCTTGAACGTTTTATCCCTCCCCCTTCCTTGCTACAAACACATACCTCAGAGACACCGCCCCCCCCACTAAGGAACAGTGCCCCGAAGAGACATCCACTTCTTACGTAGAAGGTTAGCAATGTTCCCTCTAAGCTGTGGAGTCTTGTGAGCAAAAATTCTGCTTTGTGAGCTACCAGCATCAAAGTTGTGAGCGAGCGATTTGTCTGCTGCATAAATCAGTTTGCTTTGGAACCATCCTTCCTGAGCTAAGACCAAAATCTGTGAGCCAGAGGCTAAAAAAAATGCGAGCTAGCTCACACTAACTCAGCTTAGAGGGAACATTGGTTATGAGTGCCAGAAACAAAGAGAGGCTCGTACTTTCTTAACAGCAGAGTTCTACTTACTTCTGTATGGCGTTCAGAATGCCCCACATGTACTGGTCAACTTCGAGGCCTTCTAGCAGGGCTGTTTTACTGGAAGAAGGAGACGCACACAAATTATTATTGTTGTTGTCTTATAAGAACTACTGACAGGGCACTTTACATGGTGAAAGTAGGGCCCCTGCCCTGAGGAGTTTACAATTTGGTGATAGGGAGGTGAAAGGGGTCTCAAACTGAGCCATGCCATTTCACGTCACTACCGATCTTCTCCCGAGGGATTTCTACACGTTTCTAGAAGCGCAGAATTACACCAAGTCCATGTCCATGGCAATCATGGGGCTGAAATTGGAGAAATTCCGCACAGAGCAGCACCACAGCTGAATCTTCGCTTCAGAAAACCATTGGTTGAGGCAGGGTTGTCGGTCCCTTTATAACTCACTGTGCTAGCTGCAGCAATGACAGCTAGGATATGTACGGAAGTTTTATTTATTTATTCACTTGTTTCAATAAGTCAATTCATTTCACAGCAGATTCGGCAACAGGAACGATAGCGAAGACCACCTCTATTCCAATACTTTCACTTGAGACGTTTTCTAAATCACTCAATAAGGCTGGAATAGATTATTTATTTTATTTATTTATTACTTTCAGCTTCTACCCCGCTCGAACCCCTTAGGGGGTCTCTGAGCGGCTTACAGTTACTCTGTTATCCCTAACTATGGCCACATCTGAATTAATTAAGATTAAGGCGGCTTTTATTTATACATTTATTGGATTCATTTATTCCTCACCTTTCTCCCCCATGGGAACCCAACATGGCTTACAGCGCCCTCCTTTGTCCGTTCTATTCTCACAACAACCCTGTGGGGTAGGTTAGGCTGAGCAAGTGTGTGACTGGCCCAAGGTCACCCAGCAGGCTCCCATGGCCCGAGTAGGGATTTGAACCTGCATCTCCTAGAAGATCCTAGCCCAACACTCCAAACGTGACAAGCACACTGGCTCTCTTTTGGATATTATAATTTCTTTTTGGCCTCATCTGTATTTTGCAGCCATTTCCCACAGATTAAGACTCGCCAGAAAGAAAGGGAAAAAGAAAACCCCTCATCCATTTCAAGTCTTCTGAGCTTTAAAGTTCCTGAGATGTCTTTTTAAATGATGAAAGAGTACTTCACACCTTGACACCGTACTTGTCACCTTGACACAGAGAGCACTCCATCTTTCTGTGTCATACGTCTGAGAGTGCCAGTCACAGCTGCTGGCGAAACGTCAGGTCCTACAATGCCAAGACCACGGCCATACAGCCTGAAAAATCTACAACAAAAACTTCGACAACATATCTCCTGTTTTCATTATATTTTCACACAGTCTTTATCGGCTGCAAGGTTTCGTCGTTGTCCAAATAAAATGAATCTGCTAGTGGAAATTTTAAACTTTCAAGACACCCAGCGGCAGCCCCCCGGAAAACGGTCGCACTCACTTGCAGACGGGACACCGCCACGTCCCCCGTTCACAGTTCAGCTGCAGGTAGGATTCCAGATCAAAGCACTGCAGGCGGGGGGGGGGGGGGAAACCACAAACCACGTTAGCTAAAATGGTTAGAGACCACGGCAAAGAACGTGAAACAAGCAGATGATGGAAACTACCCCTCCCTTGCTGAATATATATATACAGGGGTCATTTCCTGCGGGAGCGCACAGGAGTGGAGCTCCGGCAGTAAAGAGCCCAGGGGGTGGGCACATGCAACAGGCCCCACCCCCTGCTCCTAGCAGCCCTCAGTCAGATTAAGAAGCAGCCAGGTAAGCTGCAGAGCCCCCCCCCGTCCAAAACAGTCCAGTGGAGCCTTTAAGACCAAGTTTTATTCAGGTACAAGCTCTCCCTCCTCTGCGAGGACAGATCTGCGCGTCCCCCCCCCCACAAATAGCTGGCAATCCAAAACAGTCCAGTGGAGCCTGAGCGGTGGGTGTTGCCTTCTGACACACTTCTGGTGATGTCAGGGGGTGTGGCATATGCAAATGAGTAATATTTTCCCTGAATGAATGTATAGAAATGTATGTGTCTGTTTCACTGAGTAATTGATACAGCAATTAATGGAGTCTGTTTAGTTCTTTAAACACATTGATCTTGGTTGCATCCTGTCATTTCACCCAACTGCCTAACGTTTTAATTGTTTTAGATGTTTTAATTGTTGTTTTTATGCCTGGTTTTAATTGCTTTAATGATGTTTCTTTCTTGTTTTGCTTTGGTTGGTTTAAGTAGTTTTAAAATGTAATTTTGTTATGTACGTTTTAAGTTTGTTAACCAGCTTGGTGGCCCCGGTGAAGGCAGAAAGACGGGATATAAATTCTGTAAAATAAAATGAATACATAAGTGTCTTCAGTACAGGAAGTCTTCTCCTGAAGGAAATCTTTCAGTACTGGAAGAAGGTTCCATGCTTAGCTGAGCATAGGGAAGGGCTACAGTTCTGGATTTTGAACCCAAGCCCCTGTCTGGATGTCCTAGATATAAAATTATCTATTCTAACCCCCCCTCCTTCCAATTTTGCTGACGAAAGGCACAGAAACTCAAAGGAGCAGTGCAGAGGAGGCTAAATTTGAAATAAACTGGAATACCACGTTCTACATCTTCTCAAGGGCTTCCGGCAGTTTCAGACACATCACAATGTATATGAAACCATGAAATGACTGGGCTCTAGTATACTGACTTTAAAGAATGCTAGTTTCGAATATCCTCGGAGGAGAGCTAATAGGCAATTTGTGTTTTTGCGAAGTGTTCCTAGATTACATGACAGCAGGATGTTTCTACTCTGTATGTCACCACCAGACAGATGGTAGCTCCACGGTAAGTTGAATGAGTTCAGACTCGAGACACTCATGCAGGGTTATTAACTTAGCCACTATGGCGGGTCAATCTCCTACCGCCACTTCCCAGCCCCTGCTCAAATGAGCTGCGGGGGGTGGGTGGGTGGGTGGGGGGGAGGTCATTGTTGTCCCTTCTGGCTGAAACCCGGAGGTGGTCTCACAGATGGCTCTAGGATTTCACCAATCAGTGAAATTCCAGGGCGACATGATTTCACTTCCTGGTTTCAGCCGGAAGCGACATCAATATTTTGATGATATTCTTTTTCTCTGTGTCCTGCCTCCGCCCCCCCCCAAGCCTCCCAGGGTTTCCAAGCAGAGCCTTGGAACCCAGAATTCATGATAGAAGAAGAAGAAGAGGAGGAGGAGGAGGAGGAGGAGGAGGAGGAGAAGGAGTAGATTTATACCCCGCCCTTCACTCCCCACAGGGATAGGTTCTCCCAGATTGGAGTCAGCGCACTTAACCACGACACCAAACTGGCTCTCAAGAAGAAGGAGGAGGAGGAGGAGGAGGAGGAGGAGGAGAAGGATTAGATTTATACCCCGCCCTTCACTACCCAAAGGTATCTCAGAGCGGCTGACAAACTCCTTTCCCTTCCCCTCCCCACAACAGACACCCTGGGAGGTAGGCGGGGCTGAGAGAATTCTGACAGAAACGGCTCTTTTTCAAGAACAGCTCTTATCAGAACTACGGCTTGCCCAAGGCCATCCAGCAGGTGCAAGTGGAGGAGTGGGGGATCAAACCCGGTTCTCCCAGATTAGAGTTCGCACATTTAACCACGACACCAAACTGGCTCTCAGACAAGAACCAGCTGCTGTTCAAAATTAAAACAATATGCCTATAGAAATGTAATAATAATGTCTTTCACCACATCAAACATGAAGCTGCTGAACTTTATGTGGTAGCTCAAATGGATGCATCACTCCTCTTAGCCCCCTAACTTATTTTGCCGTTCTGGGGGGAATGAAGGCGAAACACACACCTACAAAACTCACTGCATTCTTTTCCCAAGAGGGCAGCATTCACTCTGCAGAAACTCTCTGGGGGAATGTTGACAGGGCATGTAACAGACACGCAATTGTTGGCCTGTTTTGACTTGTGGACCCCTCCCTCCCCCAGACCGACTGCAGCCCGAAACTGAAGAGCTGACAAGCACTTTGCGGGACGCATTCAGTGTGGTAAGTTACCTATCCCGTGTGCAGGCCGGGACAAAAGGAGGCAATCACCTGTACATGTTTGCAGTCGTGGCCTCTTGCCGGTAGCTGGATCCGCCGGAATGTGATTGGACACTTCAGTGACACCTTGATTGCTGTCTGCTCCACACCATCCTCGCCATTGAGGGTTGCGTTGCCCGAGGAGGCTGCCACGCTGCTGAAATTCCTCTTGACTGTTTTGGAAAGACAGCACAGGTTTGAATGGCTAGAAGTTTGGAGGCCACGCGTGCAAGCAACTGACCTAGTTTCCAGGTACTTCATGGGCTACGTGACTACTTGCATGTGGGGCAGAGTCATCAGGTCTGGCTTTTGGCATGAAGGTGTGAAAGAATGTGGGTTTATGGCATGGCTATCGAGGCCATGTGGCTCACCATTTGGCTGGTAACAGGAAATAAGGCACAGCATGTTATCAGAAAGACATTACAGGAGAAGGCAGGAGGCTTTTAGAAATCAGTATTTTTATATACATCTGAATGACACTGCATGCGATATAAAGTTCCCAGAAGACGCCGGACAAAACAGAGAAGGGACGCAAACCAAGTGACAGAGAATATGAATTGAATGTCAGAGGACCCAGGTCCAGTCCCTGGCATCTTCACACGAGGCTGCTTTCTACTGAATCAGATCAGCAGTCTAGCAAGGTTGGTATTGTCTACTCAGACTGGCGGCAGCTCTCCAGGGCCCCAGACAGAGGCCTTTCGCATTCCCTACTGCCAGATCTTTTAAATGGAGATGCTGCCGGGGATTGAACCTGAGACTTGCTGCAAGCAAAGCAGAGGCTCTTCCACTTAGCCCACAGAGCCTTCCTTTATAGTCTTCCACTACAGTGACCAAATAAGGCTGGGAAAGTCTCTGCCTGGGACCGTGGGGAGCTAACGGTCTCATTGAGTGCTCTGGATCCTTTATGATAGGAGCACACCGGTGTGCGTGGAAGGCAACTTTCTGACGTCCTTCGTCCTATTGCACTCCTGAAATATTGCCCGGTGGGGAGGAGGGTTGATGGATCTCCCAGAACAGCACGGGGTGTGGAATGGAGGTCTGCAGGGGGAGAGGAAAAGAGGAAATGCTCCCCCCCCCAACCCACAAGCAGAAAAGGTAGGATTTGAGATGGGCACAAACGAGCCACGAACTGGTTTAGTTAGTGAACTAGCCTCCTGGTTCAGTTCATGGTCCTGCCATGAACCACGAACCGAACTGAACTGCATTTTCCTGGTTCGTGCCCATCCCTACTTAGGACCTAAGCCGTGATCAGGCAGCTCTGCTATGAGCATGGTCACAGAAATTAGATGTGATGCTCGACTCACTTTTGGTGATACAGTGCTCAGCTGGCAGGAGACGTTTCTTCAGCAAGCCCTGGAGGACAGAGCGGACTGACGGCCGGTGTACTAGCTGCAATACGAACAAGTGTGACTGGAACAGAAGAATAAAAGAAAAAGAAATCAGAACAATCCTACTCATCTGGACACATTTGCCATTGCACTAACGCGACGTTCTTGCCCTTTAGTAAAGGTAAAGGTCTCCCTTGCTCGAAAGCCAGTCGAGTCCGACACTAGGGTTGTGGTGCTCATCTCCGTTTCAAAGCTGAAGAGCCAGCGCTGTCCGGAGACGTTTCCGTGGTCATGTGGCCGGCATGACTAAACACCAAGGCGCACGGAACGCTGTTACCTTCTTCCCACCAAAGTGGTACCTATTTATCTACTTGCAATTTCTTGCTTTCGAGCCGCTAAGTTGGCAGGAGCTGGAACTAGAGATGGGAGCTCACTCCATCACGTGGCACACTCGGGTCTCGAAGTTCTGCAGGTGGAGGGATGTTGATGTCTAGTTCTAAGGGAACCGTGGGAGAGAGCTTGGTTCCCAGCTTCAGCGCAAACGGCCGGAGCGCCTTCTCCCATGCCGGGGAGTGTGGCTAATTGGCCAGGGCAGTGGGGTGTGTGTGTGCATACGAATACCCTATATCCTGTTATGCCCCAGGGGCAGCCGCCATTCTTAACAGTGCCTATGATAACGCATCTATAGCTCTTCAATAAAGTATTACCTTTCCTGATAAGCGTGTACTACGTTGTTGGCTGTGGGTTCTGACATACTGGGGATAGTCACCAGTCTGAGGCAGAATCATTTCCTTGTCCTATATAAACGATATCCTGATCAACGGAATAATGGTAATGGAGCCATTCCTGTCTCTACGTATGTGGGGCAACTATCACCTAACTCAGGACTTTGGGGAAATACTAGTTGAAATTATTACTGGTGCCTCCTCAATCGTATTACCTTTCCTGCCATTAAAGATGCTTTTGGGGGTATTGTGCCATGGAACAATCCCGAAGATAATTTTAGAAGAGGTAACGCACCTTTCTCCCCTGATTTGATTGGTGTAGGTCAACGGCTAGGTTATCATCAGTCTAGGCACAGTCATGTTCAGTCACTGATTTTATAAAGCTAGGATTTCACCAATCCAAATTTAGTTACCTGGGGGCTAAATCAGTTCCCTGGACAACTACAAAGAACTCTGGAGGATGCTGCCCCCGGAGGATTGGCTACATTAGGGGTGTGTTGCCTGATATGCAAAGGAGTTCCTGCTACAAAAAGAGCCCTGAAATGCATGTTTAAACATTTCCCTGGTAGTGGAAACTACAGGGCCGTGGCTGAAGTACAAGGAAACAGAACCCTTCAGAAAGATGGTGCAGACACTTTAGTGTCCAAGGCAAAAAAATTGCATATTTATTTATTTAAGACATTGATTAGCTGCCTTTCTTCCTTATGGAGCTCGCGTCGGCTTACAGTATACATAAAATATATAAAATAAAATACATACAAACCAAAAATTTAAAATTGCAATTTAGGACTTCTAGCAAACTTAACAAAGGTAAAGGTAAAGGTTTCCCTTGCTCGAAAGTCAGTCGAATCCGACTCTAGGGCTGCGGTGCTCATCTCCATTTCCAAGCCGAAGAGCCAGCGCTGTCCGAAGACGTTTCCGTGGTCATGTGGCCAACATGACTAAACGCCGAGGGGCACGGAACGCTGGTACCTTCCCACCGAAGCGGTACCTGTTTATCTACTTGCAATTTCTTGCTTCCTCTATGCAGTCCTAAATAAAACCACATTCAATGCCTCCTAAAGATTAAAAAATGAGGTGGCCAGGTGCCCTTCCCTGGGGAGATGGTTCCGTGATCGTGGGGCTGCCACTGAAAAGGCCCTCTCTCACGTCCCTGCCAAACGAGCTTCTTTGATGGGACAGTCTACAAGCATGGACGGCTTCAAAAGGGAATTAGATAAGCATATGGAGCAGAGGTCCATCAGTGCCTCTTAGCCACAAGGTATAGATAGGGGCTCTGGGGCAAGTGATGCTCTGTCTTCTTGGTGCTGGGGGGGGGGTCAACAGTGGGAGGGCTTCTAATGTCCTGGCCCCACTGGTGGACCTCCTGATGGCATCTGGTATTTCTGGCCACTGTGAGACACAGAGTGTTGGACTGGATGGGCCTTTGGCCTGATCCAACATTGGCTTCTCTTATGTTAAGAGCAGAGGTCCATCAGTGGCTATTAGCCACAAGGTATAGATGGGGCTCTGGGGCAAGTGATGCTCTGTCTTCTTGGTGCTGGGGGGGGGGTCAACAGTGGGAGGGCTTCTAATGTCCTGGCCCCACTGGTGGACCTCCTGATGGCATCTGGTATTTCTGGCCACTGTGAGACACAGAGTGTTGGACTGGATGGGCCTTTGGCCTGATCCAACATTGGCTTCTCTTATGTTAAGAGCAGAGGTCCATCAGTGGCTATTAGACACAAGG